TGATGATGGGCAGTACGAAGTTGCCTTACCGTGGAAAGACGATCATTTGCCTCTCCCAACCAACAAAGATATAGCGATAAGAAGACTTCAAGTCTCAACAAAAAAGCTGAATTCAGAAAAATTATTTGATACCTATGATGATGTCTTTAAGCAATGGACTGAATTGAGAATAATAGATGATGTCACAGATGTGTATGATTCACACCAGCACTTTCTTCCTCACCGACCTGTAGTCAAGGAACATGGTACTACCAAAGTAACGTCCAGTGTTCGATGCGTCTGCTAGGCAAATTGGATCTCCATCTTTGAACCAGTGTCTAGAATCCGGTCCCAATTTATTAGAACTCATTCCAAGTCTCCTTCTGAGATTTAGAGAATTTAAATATGGTGTTATTGCAGATATTGAAAAGGCCTTTTTGCAAGTGAGCGTTCGGCCGGAAGAACGAAACTATTTGAGATTCTTCTGGTGGAATGATAGCGACTGTAAAGAAATTAAGGTAATGCAACACAACAGATTGGTCTTTATTGTAAAGAGCAGCCCATTTCTTTTGGGAGCAGTTTTAGATTATCATTTGGGAAAATCTTTGAATGATGCCAGATATAATCAAGATTATGTTAAGATTCTTATTTCGAGTTTCTATGTTGATAATTTAGTAACGAGGGAAACTTATTTTTTCAATGATACATGTGGTATATTACCCTTCATTGAAACGTCTCAAGCCATACTGAGTGAGGGAAAATTCAATTTTGAGAGGCTGGCAGTACACTAATGATAATGGTCCTGAACCATTTACTTCTGTATTAGGACTTTTATGGATAGAAACAAGGATACGCTGAATGATAAATCTGGACTGGTTAGACAGCTATAAATTCGAAACTTTGAATAACCCGAAAGAATAATTCTTTCTGTCACTCATAAGGTGTTCGATCCAGTTGGTTTATTATGTACCATTGTTTTGCTGATACCCAAATTGTTATTGCAAAAGATGTGAAAGAAAACATACCTTGGAACTCTGAAGTCAACGCTAATATAAAAGAATAATTTATGAGCTGGTTTTCAGAACTTCATTTGCTGAAGGAAGTGACCATATCACGGTGTTTTTCAATTGATCCAAGTAGACAAAACATTTCTCTGCATACATTTTGTGATGCTAGTCATTTGGCCTTCGCAGCAGCTGTTTACATTCGTGTGGAGACATTGGAGAATGTCCAAGTTCGTCTCTTAGCAGCTAAAGCTAGAGTGGCTTCTGTAAAACCCATGACTATCCCTCGATTGGAGCTGATGGCTGGCTGCTATGGTGGGAGCTCGTTTGTGTGCATCTGTTGTGGAAGGGCTTCAATGGAAACATGTTGAACAGCATTATTGGACTGACTCAACGGTTGTTTTAGGGTGGATTCAACGTAAGGAATCCTGGACGGTATTTGTGAAGAACAGAGTGAATGAGATAAATAGTTTAACAGATCCTCTTGCATGGAAACATCTTCCTGGGATCCAGAATCCAGCTGATTTGCCTTCTCGAGGATGTTCGGCTAGACAACTGTTATCAAGCAAATGGTGGGAGGGTCCTACTTGGTTATTAGAACCTTCTTCTAACTGGCCCATCACAGAACAAAATTTCGGTGAACATTCTATAGCTAAGGAAAAGAGAAAAACAAATCTGATGGGCATTCTTCTATATCTGTTCCCTAAGTTACTCAAATACTTGTAGCTGCAAAACTTATGAAAAGAAAAAAAGGGATGCAGACATTACGGATCAAGTTGGTACTATTATTATTTTTCAAGCTATGACAAAGTGATACGGTTGATTGCTTGGATAAAAAGATTTATCTTTACTTGTCTAAATGCCAAGTCTTCGCGAAATTATTGGAGAGTTATCCTACAAAGAAGTCAAAAATGCAGAAAAGAAAGTCATAAATGCATTAAAGAATACAAAACGAATACTTTTCTGATCATTTAAACAAAAGAAAATTAGAATCTTTGGTAACATATAAGGACGAAGAAGGAATTATTAGACTGCGAACAAAAATTACATTTCGGAAGGATGCAGAAAACTTTAAACATCCTTTTGTTTTACCGGGAGAACATCAGGCTGTCAAAAGGTTAATTACAACGGAACACCAGAAGAACTCTCATGCTGGTTCTCAAATATTGTTGAATATTCTAAGAGAACATTATTGGATTTTAAACGCGAAAAAGGTCATTAGATCTCTTTTATCCAAATGTGTTACTTGTTTAAGGTACGCAAAGAGAAATTTAACAGCACCGATATCTGCATTTACCAGAAAATCGCGTAAGAGATGCATCTATTTTTGAAATTAATTGGAATTGATATGGCTGGACCTGCGTGTATTTAAAAGGAGAAGAAAGGCTTGGATTTGCCTATATACGTGTGCTGTGTATAGAGCTGTGCATTTTGAACTCAGTTCCTCACTGTCTACAGAGGCTTTTCTTCATAGAGTTTCCGTCGGTTTATAGCCCGCACAGAGGCCGTCCTTCTGTAGTTTATTGTGACAATACAATAGGAAGCAACTTCGTTGGAGCATCAAAATTGTTTGAAACTCGTTGATTGGAATGTCATTACTCAATACACCACCACTAAGGAAAATTCAATGGTTTTTCAATCCCCCAACTGCCTCTTGGTGGGGCGGTTTTTGGGAGCGATTAGTTGGCTTGATGAAACAAATTCTTAGAAGAGTTTTTTGGAAATCTCTGCTGTCTTTTGAAGAAATGACAACGGTATTGTGTGATGCTGAATTTGTTATTAACTCTCGTCTACTTACCTATGTTTCAGAAAAGGAGTCTGAACTTGTTCCTTTATCTCCTAACTCATTTTTGCAAGATTTCCAAAAGTCAGGCGTTCCTGATTTGGATGAGATTTATCAGCATTCCCTCAACAAGAGATTAAAATATCGTCAACAACTAATCACGGATATACGAAAAAGATTCAGATCTGAATACCTAGGACTTTTGATTCAAAGACATGATCCGAAGAAGCATGAGAAAAATATCAAACTTGGAGATAGTTCTTGTTGGAAGTGATAATGTTAAATGTACTGAGTGGCCATTAGCCGTTGTTACAGAATTGTTACCTGGAAGAGACAATGTCATTAGATTGGTACGATTGAAAACAACAAATGGGCAACTTTTACGTCCTGTACAAAGAATTTTTCCTTTAGAACTTTCATGTAATTGGTTCGAAGATCTAAAAAATGAAAGATTTGAACAAGCTAGGGTTGAAGGGTATTCAGTGGAAAACAGCCAAAAAGATATTAAATCTATAAAAAACCAGGAGTGGAAGAGAAGTGAAGCCTATCCAAAGACTAGACTTATAGACTTTATAAATGTTTGGACTTTAATTCAGTTCTTTTATGTTTTTCCATTAAGTTTTTCTTTAATATTTCTAATAGGTTAAGTTGTTTCCCAACAACTTAAGGTGGGAGGATGTTGGATTTCAAAACAATGTAATTTGTATTTACTTTACTTTAATTTTATACTTATAATTTTACAATACATATTACTTTTACCTTTTGGCCACTAATAATTGTTGTTAGTTTGGTTTCATGAGAGTGGCAACAGGGCAATTCATAGAATTAGGTAAACATTTTTCTGTAGTTAGTTAGGCTTAGTGAAGATTAATTGTATGTTATATACCTAAGTGATGTTTTTATTAAATAAATGAATACTTTAGAATATAGTAGTCTCTTTAGAGTCCTTGATACGCTGGTAGCGTAATAGTTTGATGCATAACAAAGGTTACCTATTTACCTAAGTTTATTATTTATAACTAACTGCTTACCCTTAAAAATTATCTCCAGATATTAAAGCGAGTTATTGCCTTTCATTAATACTCACTGTGGTCACAAGATAAAACACAAAAATGTAGAAATTCAAGTAAAACTTATTCTTTGCATCTAGTGAGACTTAAAATAATACAACTTATCAACTTTGGTGCTTGAATGGCTTATTGGAACCTGAAAGTATATTAACTGGGTTACAACCCGTGGAATTCTGCACAAAGCTATGACACTAACTGCATCAAACAGAGCTTGACTAACTTTCAACACTTGCTAACCGTGCCTACATCAGGCCTTTCAAGTTTGTTCTAATCAGCAGGTCTCTCTCTAGACAAGCAGCAGCGGTGATAATATTCAGTCTTTTGTTATGAATCATGCTGATTATGATCTTACTTCTCATTTTAACCTATGCCGTTTGACATAAAATCTACCTGTTATTAAACCTCTAGACCAGCAGTTCTCAACCTTTACGTTTACCATCTAAACAAAAATTGAAAACCTTTAGTACCACCACTATAAAAAGTACTACCACCACCAATCTTGAACAAAGCGGCAGATCACATAAATTTACGAGTGGTAGAGAAAAAACTCAATCAGGATGTTGGGATTTTAATTTTTGAAATAAATAGTTAAAAATACTTTGCTTCTTTGTGTACCACCTATTTTTTCTTGCGTACCACCAGTGGTACACTTACCACCGGTTGAGAACCTCTGCTGTAGACTGATCAAGTATGTGACAAAATGAGACATAACAAAATGAACGTAAAGCTAACTATTTGTAAAACGTAAATGTCACTTATCTTCTTTCAAATATTTCCAACCTATTATAAGCGTAAAATATTTAATGCTATTTGATAAACTGCATGAAGTTTATTTTATTCTCAAACTTATTAATAATTATGTTAATTCATGTTTAGTAATAATGCATACTACTTAGGGATCAATTTTATTTTTAGGATGATATTACAAAAGTGAAATTCAGGCATAGAATAATATTTTTAATTGAATTTATTCAGTTCTCATTTGCTCATAGATTCTTAATTTTTTTTCATTAATGGCCCTTAAAAGTACTTAATTTCCGTGTGCAGAAATGTGTACGAATCCTGAAGATATTTAATATTTTTTTTCCCTTTCATAGTGTAAATGATGTGCATTTATTTTTGCTGAAATTTCTAATTAATGTATAATGTATCATTTTATTGCAGAAAAAGGGTTAAGCTGCAAGGCTAGTGATACCAAATGAAGTATTTTTGTTCATTGAAGTGCAGTAAGGTAAGTTCTTTTTAGTTCACTATAGCTATTGCAGCTACATTATTTAAATTTGCTATTTAAAAATTTTGTTGACATTTATATCTTGGTTTAATATGTATCTGTAAGGCGAAGAATTTGCTGAAAAAGAAGCATAAGTTGCAAAGTGATAATTTTCATGGAGGAAAATGTCTGTATTTTTCTTTCCTGTATAATTTACTCTTTCTTGTACTATATGAATATCGCATTCGTGGTATTTAATGCTAGAGAAAAATAATTGCATACTTGGTCATTTCAACTTTATGAATAACAGCTTTATTAAACTTCAAAAAGTAACTCTTTTTTAAAAAATAATATTAAATTGTTAAGCGATCGCCTGCTAATTACTATATGTCATCTAAAATGTGTTTTATTGTTGCACTTTTTTCAGTTTCCTAAACTCGTAAATTTCATTTTAGTATTCTAGGTATCTTATTTATATTACGCTTCATACTTTGCATTTAGCAGTTTAGGTTGAAACAAAATAATTGTTTCGTTGTGTTTCTGAATGTTGCAATGTCTGCTGTTGGTCTTTTTATATTTGTGATTCTAATAATTGCTGTAATATTTTGTATTAGTGATGTTAAATTTGATAAATAATGGTAATAACATTGAAATTATCACAGTTTGATGTGTTAAAAAAGTTATCTTTTCCTTAAAAGAAATATTTATATTCCATAGGCTGAGAATATATTCGAAATATGCACCATTAGTGTTTTGTTTCTTTGTTGAACTTACTTTTAAAATGAACAGGATCTGTGTGTGCGTGTGTGTGTTTGTGCACATACATATATATATGGTTGGTGTTAGTATGTGATTATATGTACACACACATATTTATATATATGGTTGGTGTTGGTATGTTTGTGGTATATATAAGACACACTGCTATGTAACGGGTGGCCATAATTAAACTGACAGTGCTCACAGTGTTCTGTAGCGCGATCTATTTGTGAGAATGACGCCACATTTTGTAGGAAGATTAAACAAGACGGGGGACGAAGGATTCCGCGAAGAAATATTAGTTTCAAAAGTCACCACTAGGGCAATATTTGGCACTGTGTAATAGAAAATAGTGTTAACAAATGCAAATCAATATGGAAATTACCTTTTATTTTGCATTCAAATGAGGTTCAATGTGGCTGCCTTTGTTGTGGACCATATATTGCATTCTGTGCACAGTATGCACAACAGCAGAAAGTAACATGTCTGCAGGAATCTCCCGTACAGTCCGTGATATGTTATCCTTCAACGTAGCCAGGTCCTGGACCACTCCTTGATAGACCTTGGACTTAAGGTAACCCCATAACAAGAAGTCACATGGGATATGATCAGGCAAACGAGGTGGCCATGCAGTTGAAAGTAGCGGCTAATGACTCTCTATGTTGTGAATTTCTGTCGTAGCATCTGTTGCACCCGTACTGCAACGTGTGGAGGGGCTCTGTCTTGCATGAAAATGATTTCCCCCAGTCATTGTCTTTGCTGAAGTGCTGGAATGACAAAGCTGTTCAACATGTAGCGATATTTCTCTCCAGTAACAGAACAGGTTTCCGGTCCTGTCAGGGTAATGTTCTCATAGAAGAATGGACCTACGATAAATTCTGCTGTGAACCCACGCCAAACAGTTACCTTTGGTGAATGTAAGGGAATTGCTGTGACTGCATGTGGTGATTTGTCATCCCAAATTCGGCAGTTCTGGGTATTCACAGCTCCATTCAGGTAAAAGTGGGCCTCGTCTCCTCATAAGATTTTCCACAGCCAAGCATCATCCACCTCCATTCTGGCAAGAAATCCGCTGTCTTGTTTAATCTTCCTACAAAATGTGGCGTCATTCTCGCAAATAGATCGCGCTACAGAACACTGTCAGTTTAATTATGGCCACCTGGTATATGTACACACACACACACACATATATATATATATATACATAAAAAACCTATTCACCTTGAATTCCACATTCACTAGAATAATTAATTGGTGTTTTTTTTTTTCGCTAGTGTTAAAATATTATGTAAAAATAGCTAGTAAATGTCACCTGTTCCAGCATTTCCATAAAGAACCAACATTGTGTAAAAACGAAATTTGTATAAAAATTATTATAATAGAAAATATAATAAAATAATTGTATGTCTTGTGTTATATCTTCATCAGGGGGTTGTGAAACGAGAGGAGTAAACAAAAAAAAAAAATTCCTTTTTCTGAACTGAAAAGTGTGAAATTGCTCTCAAATCAAAATTGTAAATTTTAAACAATATAATTTAAATATGTGCATCCATCAGTCCAATCCCTAATGGATAAAATGGAAAGCCACATTGACTAAATTAAACGTTTATTACTAATCAAAAATTGAAAAACAGTACAAAGAACTGTTAAAAAACTGTTTAATTATTTATGAAATGGGCAATGCACAAAAAAACAAAGCAAAAATGTTTCGTAATCTGTAGAAAGGAAAGTAATTTTGTCAGAAACGTAAGGAATTAACACACCAGAATGTGCATTTTGTATTGAGAACAATAAACTTGAAAACTGTTATAAAAATTTTAATTAATTAAAAATTTTTAAGTTACATATCCAAAAAGCACAATTATGTAAATAGAGAACAAATTTGAAAAATAAATAAATAAAAGCATTCGAAATACAGGGTGAATTTTTTTAAAACAAAATTTAATTCTGTCATGTGTAAACTGTGTTGTGATATTTGTAATAATAATTAATTGAGTAATAAATTTAAGAATTTATCTCTAGCACAAAATATTTAAAAATGAAACTATTGAAGTAAGGAAGTAATTTTGAAAAATTTTCTTGTTCTTGAAGCTAACAGAATTTAACTAATACTTGCAGAATGCAAGCCAAATGATATGCAAATAGTTGTAGTAATTTTCATTTAAAGATGTAGTAGCAGTTTTTATTCAAAGAAAAAGAGTATGACGATTAGATTAGTTGATTTCTTTGTTATAGACCACAGATTTAAAGTGGGCTACTGTGAGACTGAAAATGAAACAGTCTTGTTCAGTTAGTAAAAGATTTGTTAAACATCCTCTTCAGAAATATTACAGACTGTAATACTGTTGAATATAATGTCTAATTCAACTAATTAATAATCCAGTCTATACTCCCTGATGGATCTGTACCTTTCATGAAAATCATAGTAAAAGTGCATCGTGTAAGGACATGTAATTTGGCTAGCTGCTTTTCAAAAAAATTATATTTAATTTTATATTTTAAAATATTTTAATTAACAATTGAAAAGCTGTAAAAAGAAGGGCCCAGCTCCACATTTTTAAATTTTCAGAAAAATTTTTAAAAATTTCAAAATCTAATTTTTTAACTTGTTCTAATTTTTTTCATTATTAAAAGCGTTGTTCAAAATGATTTTTAATGGCTATTACTGTAGCAGAATGGGGACTTCTGTTAGGTTACAGTATTGTTTAAATTTAGTAGCTAGGATTCTTGCCCCAGTGGTCATTAAATTGCCTATTTTTGGGTGATAAAAATTTAAGAGACAATGCCTGTGAGAGAAGGTTTATTAGCAAATGAAAGAGAATGTTTATAACACATGAAAAAACAAAACAGCATAATAAGTAAACAAAACCTTACCCTTTAGCGGTTCAGCTCAACTGTACAACAGTCTCCATCGCTTGAGATTTTCAGAAACTACTACTCGGAAATAAGCCCTTTTTACTCCAAGCCTACAAAAATACCACCTCCATCTCTTGAGATTTTCTGAAACTACTACTCGAAGCTGAGCTCTCTTTACTCCAGTGCAAACAACAATTTTTTCCAGCAGAAACTTCCCAGGGACTTAAAAGTCTACCAAAATTGGAGCTGGGCCTTTCTTACTGAAAGCATCAGAATGATTTCTTCCAAAATATTTTGATTGCCACTGTAGATTTTCCGAATTCTGACGATTTGATTAAATATAGTGTTGGCTAAGACTTTTCTGGAAATGTTAGACTTCCAGTTCAGTTTTATAGTACTGAAAAAGTTAAGGTCTTTTGTCAAAGATTTTTATTTTTATAATGTTATAAACTAGTTAATCTAAATCAGGAATTTGCATTCCTTTTCTTGCTTTAACCCTTTTCAAAAGAATGTTTTCTTCATTAACCTTCGTGCATTTTTGCCTGTAGTATACAGCATACAACATAATCATAATATAAATCATTGTTTATAATAACTTAAAGATAACAGTTAGACTAAGAATATGACCAGAAGTTTTGAAAAGAAAATGGTTTATTATATTTGTATTTTTATTATTTTTTATATTATTTTTAATTTTACAAATTTAAAATTTCTGGAATTAAAATCACTGAGTCTAACTGCACATAAGTTCTGTTTAGTAATTTGATTGTATTGATGTAATTTTTTTAAATATTTTTCATAAAATTTTGAAAGTTCAGGATTATGGAAGCTGTGGCTGAAATTAAATTCTTTAATGAAATGGAAAAAGGATTACATATAGCTATAGAATAGATAAGTGCCCCCTGAAATTCCAATGGCTTGTTGATAAATATTTTCTTGGTATTTAATGTATTTGTGAAATAGTGTGCATTTAGATGTGTGTTCCATTTTTCAAATTTTGTAAATTCATTAATAATGGGAAAAAATGTATAGCTGAATTAAACGACTGTAAAATTTCATTAAGATATAAGATGATGTATAAGTTTTGATAATCATAGCCGTTAATAATTCTTGATTTGAATTTTAGTTATTGGTTATAATCCAGTTATGAACAGTTATGTTGGTGTAATTTTTATGAGACAAATGTTTTTGAGAATGTTGGTAAGATTAATATTTGTTAGATTTTTGTTAACAACATTCACTATAAATCTGAATTTAGTAGGAATTTTTGTAGAATTTACATGGAGCATAAATGTTGAAAAATTTATTGCGCTGGATTTGCTGGAAGTTTAAATTTTGTGACCTTTGAACTTTTAAATTTAAAATGTTTTCTTAAGCATTAGAGGTTTGCAAGTTACTTTTATTAT